ACCAACAGATCCTCTAAATAGAGAGTCTCTGAGTCAATGCCTTTCTTTCAGAGCATGCATAGGGAAAGACGGGAAAGTTGTCGAAGGAAAAACTTGCCCTGGACACTGTGTAAAAACCTGCGTTTATGCTAATCCACCGCAGAACGCTAGCTATTATGTGGTATGTTTGTCAGGAAATTCGGATTGAATGTCATCGACTAAAGGGGAGTGAATGCCCACCATTCTCGACAGATTCCTAAAATTTGCATCGTACTAAGGTTTTGGTGGCATATGGTTCTTCTATGAACAACTCAGCAAACTTCATAAGCAGAATCGCTAAGGTCAAAATAAGAGAAAGTCGAATAGATTGACATGATCTTATTTTATGCACAGAGGTGACACTCTCAAGAGGCAATGACCTCTCTTCCTGGACGAATTGATTTCACCCAAACCTCTCTTTTCTACGCAATTTCCTTTCCTTTTGTCTCTCTCATAGTGGCAAGTTCCCCGAAGGAGGGTAGCTCCAGAGCCAGGGCAAATCTACATAGTCTCATCGCCAGCCTCCGCTCGAGTTTGAAAAAAGCGAATAACTTCCAGGCTAGATGGATAGAAGAAGTTACAAAGCCCTCGTCCAAGAGGTTTCTATGTTTCTAAGGTCTTTGGCAGACCCCTTTTTGTTGTTTCCCATCTGGGCTATATGGATCTAGGATTTGATCCATGGACCACGCTTCTGAGCATGCCACTTGCCACTACACCACATCTGCTCGTCCTTTCCGTGTAAGATGATCAATTTCACGTCACTCCATTTCCCACATGTTGGAGAGTTCAAAACATCATGGAACCCAAGAAAAAGCTTTTCTGTTTAGTTGCTTTTTAAATGTTTAGTGCTGCCCGTGCGCGGATACGGACGAAAACTGCAAGTCGAAGCAAGGCTCTTGTGGAGGTACAGTTTCTCTTGAGCGAAAATGTGAACAGTTTTTAGAATCGATTACACTCTAAGTGATACATAAAAATGAGATGTATTATGAATACGTTTTGCATGGAAAGGTTTATAGGTCAGTCAAACAATTCTAAATACAAAATAAACACCCATTTTGGCGGAGTCAACTCTAATTATAATAAAACCGCCGAAACGGTTTCCAAAATAATTCAAAAGGTTTCACCTTACACAACTTTCCACTTCCATCTTGAATACCAATGGATTCGGAAGCCTTATGGTGCAAGTGTGCTTGAATCGTGCTTTACTAGAACAGATCGATTATGAGAAGCATGAATATACTTTACAGATTCTTGCTTTGTAGAGTTCCACAAAAATGGGAGCGAAGTGAGGAGTACTAGCGAGATAGCAAGTACCTCCTAGATAGGAGAATGTCATAACAGAAGAAGTGTAACAGACGCATCATTGAGAATTAGAGTTTCAATTAGAATAACCAGAAAAAAGGTTCTCATGAAAATTCCGTGATATATTTATCAAAGCGCTGTGAAGATCGGCAAGGTCGCTAGAGGAGGTTTCTGTTCAAAGGCAAACAAGAAACTTTAGAAAAAAATAGGTAGTGGAATTGGCGATTGATACAAAACTACAGGCCCTACTTCTACAAAAGATAAAGACTTCTAAAGACATTGAGCGCTAATCAATACCGTTTGAGAGGTGACTTCCCCTTCCCTTAAAATTAACTTGCAGCGGCCATCTGATGCACAAGTCACTGCTTTTGTCCCCCCCCCCCAGAACGTGGTACCTATTACCCGACCTCAGAAGGCTAGAAGGCTCCGTTGACTTTGGCGGATATCGATCCGAGGATCGAATCCGTGACCATGCGTATGTGATAGTGCGCCACTTGCCACTACTCCACCCACGCCGCTGTTTCCAAAATCTATTTCCAATAGTATCTTTCATCATTACCTGAAAAGTAAATGTTCAGATTCCCTATACGATGTCGATATTGTTCTAATTGTTTCCGTACTGGAAGTTTATTGTGATGAACACAAGTTAGCTTATGCTCTTCATTGCCAAATGGATCCATACACCCATAGGTTAGCTTGAAATACTCAAATTTCCTAACCAGTTTCTAAATTTCTAAATGTAGACTGATAAAACGTCAGCGGGAAGTTTAAAGACTCTGATGCACTGAAATTTGGCGCAAATCAAGGGAAAGTTCAGCTGATGTGATAGAAATGCTTTACTTGCTTTCTGAATGTGTGCAGTCCATTGCGGCCCACTGCGCTCGCAGCGTTAATTATACACCGAAATGATACTGACGTTGACGTCTAACCAAGATGGTCTCCCGTGGCCCGATCCTGATCGGAAGTCACGGCTGGCTGAAATAAATCGCGTTCGAGTTGAAGGAACTGGTGTATATCACAGCATGAAGGGGTGATTTACAAATAGCACTGTTCTGTACTATCTTGGTGTGACCACCGTCAGTAGGTTGACGGTTCGCGCAAGTGGCCCACTATTCGGTATCACAGAACTACAGCTATAACATAGCTAGTTTATTCGTTTTCCCGTATCACAAGCGTTAGACCCAATAGATGTATGGCGTACCAGTCGGTTCGCCCTCCTTATGACATGGTTGTAGTGACCGCAACCGGCAATTCCGTCTTTGGAACAAATGATACTTTTCTGTACATGAAATTCGGCACAGCGGTGACAGTACAAGAGATATTCATTATGCGTCCATGCCTATGCTTAGGAATAAAAGCCCAATCTGTTGCCCTTTGTCTTGAAAACAATCGTCCATCAAAGGTTCGACTGAACTGACAGGCAACCGAAGCCTGGAATGGTGCTCACAAATGGTTGAGAATCCCAGATTATTGGCAGCGACGATAAACATTGTCGATTTTTTTTTCAAATGATGCCGAAGCAGAGAGAAACCGTGATACTTTGTTGAGTAACAAAGCTTGATATATAGCGATCGCAATCCAGTAGCAACAAATGTATCAAATTTTCATATCCTCACAATGCAGTGCCTTAAATCGTACCGTCCCGCCTTTCTCACTGAATGTTACTTTACGGCGTAGACCACGACAACTTTGGGTTATTCGGTTTTTGACAGATGAAGGAACTAATAGCCCGCAATATTGCAAAGATAATGAAGAAAACGCGAAAGACGTAGTATTTACAAAAATACAAGGCTTCAATAAAGTAGTAAATTAGGCTGTTGGATGGTGTGGAAGAAGTGAGGGGACGGAACTTACGTGCGTCTAAGGAGGTGCGCGGCAAACTGCGCAGCGAAGTTCGTGGCGAATTGAGCAACTTTAGCGCCTATCATTGGGGTCCAAATTTGAAGTAGAGTAGTTTCAGTACGATCAGTTGACCCTATTAAACTAATCTACTTTAAGTTTGTGCCTCAACAATAGACGCCATAGTCGTTCCAATCGCCACGAATTTTGCCGCGCAATTTTCCGCGCGCCTCCTCGGACGCACGTTCGTACCGTCCCCCGTTCGGGTCGGCTGTCCGCCTCTGCAATCGCGTACAGCTTATTCAACAGGCTCTGGTGGATCAGTTTTGATCCTCTCTTGCGATTCCGCTGCATTGTAGACATTCTGATGCATCTAGTACTCAGCGGGTCGAGATAAACATAAGTCCCACCGCCTTCTTCTTGAACATCCCCTCACCACTCGACGATCAGCTGATTCGATGCTGAACGAGTGTGTCGGCGTGATAGCGCAAACTGTATCGCCTTGGCAATCTTCTGGCATATCATCGGTCGATGGGCTTGGCTCGACGAATCTGATAGTGTGGCTCCTACTATGCCCTATCTGTTGAGTTGTTCGGCTCTAGAGGGTCCTTTCCCCTTAGGGGCCACTAGGCAATCCCAAGAGGGAAGCTTGGAAACCATTTTTATCGTGAACTGTGCCATTCAGAGTCAAAGCTACATTGTAGATAACAACTGTCAATACTACGACTCAATATATAGGCTTCCAATTCATTTTAGGCCGATAGCAGGTCACGTGAATTTCTGTCCGGCAACCTTAAAGAGGATGAAATCAACCGAGTTTCTGTATGGGGTGGCCACCCTCAAGCACGAACTCACTCATGTATTCGTGTTCTCCAAGAGTCTCTTTGAATACTTTCCCGGGGCTGGAGAGCTTCACCGGTAGGAGCGATACTTATATAGTGATGACTCAGGATCATTTTTAAAGGTTGCAGCCCGTCCCATAACGAAACTCAGCAAGGCCGCTTGGGTGGCGGAATTTGTGTCGATTTCCTGCGAAAGTGCACAATTACGAGTTAAATGGACAGGAACTACCCAGAATTTTTTTCACTTGATCTCGTTCCATTGGGATAGTACACAGGTTTCACTGCATTACAATGCCAGTAGACCCCACTATGAGTCTACATGACCTTATTAGAGCAACGTGATTGGTACGGCCGCAACTTTTGAATGACCTGATGTTGTTATGTTGAGTTCAATTGACTGATTGGATTATTTAATAGGGATGGAGAACTGTACCTTATTCCTAACGTTGCGGAACGATTCACCCGTGTCGACTGGGAAACTTCAAAAGGACTGGTCGGTGACATATGTACTTCTCAAACGCAATCCGTCTCTCACATTATTTTTGCAATAGAAGAGGCCACAGTGCTTTTATTTTATCAAGCTGAAGCAAAACAAAAAAGTCATGAAAGCTTTAGATGAAACATGATGTTTACATGATAACCACACCAAAGGTGCGAGAAGAAGCTCGACGGCACTTCAATTGTTCGACATTGGAGGGAGCCGAAGTTGAAAGTCAGGGTCTTCCTGGAACGATTTTCTCACACTGGGAAAAACGTGTCTTTGAGGTCGGTTATTCTCAAAATGTCTCGAAAAATTGTGCTGATCAAAGTCGGATTGATGGAGGAGATGTGAGAAATGAGAGACGAATAGAGGAGGAGAGCCATCCATGTAAACCAGCAGACATTGACATATACTGCTTGTTCTGAACGCTAGGAGGTTCGGAAGACAAAGCTCATCATCTCGAATCGCGATAGGAGCAATTGGATGAAGCAGTGCTTGGTAATACTGCGTAAGAGGGAGTTGAAAGAGACAGTAAGGATGTTTTCATTTTAGTAACGAACTAATGAACTGAGAGAATGCGCATGAATACGGTCAAGGCTAGAATGACTAGAATGAACCACATTCTATTATCATGCACTCGAACCAAATTAGACCTCAGGCTAGGTTTTTCTTTGCATTTGCATTCATAATAACAGAATAGAACACTGTCAAAAATGAGGGCATAAACAAGTTCACAGATACAAAGCATATGAGCCTACGCCAGTCTACGCACTTCTGAGCCTTGATATAGATGAAATAGAGCAGTTTTACTGAGCAGCCGTGTCTCCAAGTCGATCGAACATCGAGGTTAAACCGACAAAAAACAAATGTCTAAAGTCTCATAAGGTAAAGTTGAGCGGTCCTTTCAGAGGTTCGGAGGTTCTAATACCAATCGCGATGAATCAAGTCTAACTTTTCAAGATGTGCTGTGGTTTTCAACAGGAGGGAAATGCCGTCAAATCATTCCTGAGATCACTATTTTCAGGATGAGATGATGTCTGGTACTTACACGCAAGTGACTGCCATGTCTCGTGTGACATTGGCATTATTCGAAGACTCTGGTTGGTACAAAGTGGACTACGAGTGAGTCATTGTTGTTAGCACTACTGCAGTAAATTTCTGATTGCCTACGGATTCTGCAAAGGCTAACTGTTCTAGTAAAGCCGAAGATATCATGTGGGGACGGAATCTTGGTTGCACCTTTGCTACAAAGAGTTGCTTGACGTGGATGAAGTCGAACCCAACGGATCCGTATCCGTTTTGTAGGATTTATGGTGATTCAAGGTGAACAATGTTTTATATCGGCTGCACATTCTCAGCGGCTAAGTTTCCTCAGATTGTTTATTGAGCGTGAACTATAGAGTTCAATAAACAAGATGGCACTAGGCGGATCCTCTCAGTTGACTTGCATGATCACTTCTAAGCATATTTAAGCAAAAAATACCATGTTGTTTTAAGTTACCGCAGGACTGTAGGCCACTTTGCCAAGATTGCATTTTACCTTATTTTTTCGTAGTTGCCGGTTGTGGTAAGCAATTTGCTCCTCACTGTATCTCGCTAAATAGCTCTGTGAGCTGGACTTTCTACGGCTGAAGAACACAATATCGTTAGGTGCTGATAACGCTCCACAGCACGAAAACAATTCCTGTTGACTCTAACCATGTACAAAAGCTCAACCAAATAAGTATTTAAATAGTAACTTTACATATAGTCGTTTATAAATCTCGACTATTTGCTGTATATGTGATCAGCTAGTACATATGTATGACTCGCCGTGCCGCAACGAGCAGAATTGGGAGTTACACACAACTGAGACAGCCCCTTCTTAACCTGAAGCACATAGAAACGATAGAAATTGTTGGTATCTTCATCTGTCGAAACCAATGCAATCCACAAAATACTCATCAGACTTTCAAAGCGTATTTAAGAATTACTTCTTTGCAGATGCAGTGCAACGCGATTAGAGAGGGCTGTCTGTAACTTGCAATTACTTGCGAAGAAGGAGGAAACTCTCCCACCTGAGTATGACTACAACACTGGAGATATTTACCAAGACAAGAAAGGGCAGCCAATTTTCGGACGTGGAACACTGGCTGCAGATTACTGTCCCTATTATATGGTAAGCTGAGCTTGTTTGTCTGTTTACTGTCATAATATCATTTGGATAGCAGCCCTCAACAGTAACTTAACGTGCGCCAAATTTCGACTAAAAGAAAGGAAAGTGATTTTCTATTGAGTTCTCAGAACCACTTTTCACCGAAACATAAGTACTGCGTTTTTCTAATGGCATCTGCTTTGTCACCTGCAGACGGCTCTGGCTAACACTGAAATAAACATTTCAAATGGAAATAACACACTACGTTTTACTGTCAAAANAAAACCGTGCCGTTGAAGAAAATAATAGGAGAGTTGTCCTTCAAACACATGTACCTTTCCTTCAGAACGGCAGCAGATAGCGCGCTAAACAATTTTTCAACACTACTTGCCAAGAAATTCTGTTTAGGCATTAGGCAGTAGGTGGTTTTTCAAAAAACATAGGTAACCCAAAGCCGCATGACCTATCCTTCAGAGCCAAAACACTGTTGCAAGAAAAGGTGGATTCGACAGTTCCTGTGCTTTTCCCGGCAATATGAATTACTACAGCTACTCGTTAGAGGTAACCGTTCATCAATTTTCAGGCAGTGAACGTTATTTCACTTGATCCGTTAATAACGAACTCATGAAAGTAAGGGCTAAAAATTCGATAATGAGCGAATAGTAATAGCACCATTATTCGGAATGATTCTTCAAGCTTTTCAGGAGGGAGTAAGTAGTTGTAGTTGACTTCAAGGTAGGCTGCCAGAAGCTCCTATCAATACTTTTGAATGTTTCCTGATCCAATGGGAGTATCTTTAAATTTTCCTCGAGACGTTTGCGAACAACTTTCATACCCTCACACCACTTCGAGCTTTGGAGATGGCGAAGAATTCGAGACATTAGCACTGATGAAAAATTTGCGTCTGAAAGCCTGAAGAAACATTTCGATTGAACTGATCACTACATATTCGTCTAGCAGAGCAAGCATTAGGGACGATAGTCCAGTAGGTGGCCGAGAGATAGACGCTTGAGAAAACATAATGTTCACTACAGATATTTTCTCCGACAGCCCGTTGCTTCGAATTACGTGAAGGTATCAAAGTGGAGAACGAGGTCTCAACGTCCACGATTCCGCATACTGTTGGCTGCTATGAGGTGTGTTCGAGTAAGAGTTGCTGAAACGAAAAGGCAACCTAAAGCGAGTTGAGGATAACTAATCTGCTCGAGTAAAAGGACAAAACTGAAAATAGATAAAAGGTTGCTTTGGGCATCTAGATCAAGGAATTTCAATTGATCGCTTTGATAATCCCTGCGGACTTTTGTCAGCAATCGAAGAAACATTATGTTTTGTCGAGGACGCGCCTCTCTTACTGCTTTGTTTTGCGCATATTTTTCTCACTGAGCTAGTATGCGAAGGCAAAGAAAGAGAAAATTTGTGATTTTATATCAACGGGGCCAACGCGCATCTCCTCTATAATCATTCCTGATCTGATCATAAAAAAAAACTCACAGGTAGTATCAAGTCACGGAGTTGAACATTGTCTAGTCACTCGCAAATCATTGGAAGGAGGCATAAGCCCTCGATCGGTCCTTCGCATTTCTGCAAAGAATGATGGCTGTTGGTATTTCTATAGGAAAAATACTAGTCGGACTGCTAGTTCAAGCTTCACCCAAAATTTTCCAGAACATTTACGTTCGATAACTCTTTCTTTGAGGGCTAGATCGATTAATACTTTTCTGATATGTTGGAGGAGTAGTCTTACTTCTAGGATTCTAAAAGTCAAATGTCCTTTCAAGGGTATTTTTGACTAAGACCAAAATACGTTTTACAATTTTATTTCTTTTATTTTGATAGAGATGGAAGAATTCTTCTCTGATCATCCATTTTTCTTCCAAATTTTTCATTTCGATTTTCGATTTTCAGAGCATATGCAAAAACAATCTACTCATGATTAAAACACAAAATTCAAAGTTCTATCCGTGCTATCATGAAGGGCAATTAATCCACGTCGAAAAGGTATTTGATGAGTGGTGTCTTCATCCTTCTTATTCATTGGTTGTTCACCTGGCGACGTTTATCAGCATAGACTATTGTGTCAAAACTTTTTTCAACTCCTTTCTGAACCTCTGCAAAATATATCGGCTAAAGGATGAAGCCCATCCAGCAGATTTTTCTTGGTGGCTCATTGTGTTCTCTGCCATAGAAAGTTTGTAGAACGTCAAGCTTGAAAGCGAAACATCGGCAGTCATGATGAGTAACTTCCTGGTCCATGCACATAATCCATTCCGACGTATCCTATTGATTTCTTCCAATGTAAATGGGTAGCAGTACTTCTCCATGATTTTTCACGGCGTACGGTAGTGATTCTACGGCTACTACAGTATCCTTCCCTTTGAAATTCGGACCTTCCGCTTTAAAGCACGCGACTGCCTGCGATCGGGTGAGTGCGAGGGGGACGAGATCTTTGGGGACAAAGTTACCAAGAGGGTATAGGCTCAAGTCCGCGCATAGAAAAAACGTGAGTTTGACCTCCGTCGAAGAAAACCGTGGCCTGTATAAAACTGCAAAAATGGCGTCGGTACCAACGTCAAGCCAGGTTGTTAGGCAGGCTGATGGAGTAACCTCGTCACAAAAACATGTAAAAGGTCTCTAAAGGGTGAGTAGAAATGAAGGCAGTTAAAAAAAATGGCGGACTCTGCGACGGCACGGAATTAACTCCAGGTCAACAAGAAAAAGAAGGTTCATTTGAGGAAAAAAACTGTTTCTGAAAAATGGGAAAAGCGCGCCCCAGACAAAATTGAAAATTGTTCGATTCCCAATTGACTTTTGTTTATTTGATTATTCGTTTTATTCAGCGATTGCATAACGTTGGTACAGTCCGACTTCAAATTGTCTGCCCCTCCTGCTCAGAGCTCTGCGGCTCCCAATTCTGTGCGCCAGAAAAATCTACGGAGAAGCGGATTGGTGATCCGACTAGAACTGTCATCAAGCCTCGCGTGCAGCTCATTTCAGTAGTACTTTTGATATTAATCTTATGTAGTTAAAAGTTAACTCCTAGCATTTTTCTGCTTCCATTGTTCTCATAACTTTGTTTTTAGTGATAAAATATAGAGAAACAACTGAAAACATCTATTCTGAAGACTTTTTAACAGCCTGAGCATGTTCTTGCTTTTGTATGTCACGTTTATTCTGCTCAAGAATTCTAAGTTTGATTAAATTTTTCACTTCCATACTTATACATACATTGTACAGAAAGTCGACAATAGTCTCTATCAAATGATCGGAATTACGTGAACACCTTTACTAGGATCAATGATGTATGAGCACTTTCTTTTGGTTACACTTGCTATTCTTCCTATATTCCATTTGGTGTACTTTATGTGCTTGATCACGTAAGAGGCCTTAGCAACAAGCAGAAAGAGCTCAGGTATCTCGTTCAGAGTGATTTCTCTGAATTCACT